AATATATCATATTTGAATTCCCTCCCTGCTCTCTTTCATCCCCTCTCCCCACCCCACTCCCGATTGCTGGAACAGTTTTCAACAGGTATAATTTTTACATTTACTTATGTGTGTATACATTGTTTCCTCCACCACTACCACCCCCCACATTGTGCCACTCCCTGTCCCCCACCTCTGGGCAGAACCTGCTCCACCCTCTTGTTCTCCAATTTTGTAGAAGAAAGAACATAAAAGATAAAAAGAAAAATATGGTATTTTGGATAGTTTGAGATAAAGATATAGCTGTATAGGGAGATTCCTTGTGTTGTTTCCATGCATATGTGTATTACAACCCCAATTGGTTCATCTCTACCAGACCACTTCACTACTTCCTGGTCACCTTCCCATAGTGGCCTCTGCTAGTTTAAGATTACTATATTCACTCCTCTACAGTGAGCACATCAGACACATTCAAGTTTTAGATTTCCTTCTGTTTCCCTATCTGTCCTGTGCACGTTCTCCCCTTAGTGTGTGACCCATGTCCAGTAATATAACTGCACTTATTTTAGGTGCATAATCCACATATGAAGGAAAACATGCAATTTTTGGCCTTCTGAGCCTGACTAAGATGATGTTCTTCAGTTCCATCCATTTACCTGAATTGACAAGATTTCATTCTTCTTTGTGGCTGAATAAAATTCCTTTGTGTATAAATACCACATTTTCTTAATCCATTTGTTGGTAGTGGAGCATCTTGGCTTTTTCATAGCTTGGATATTGTGAATAGTACTGCAATAAACATGGTGTACAGGTGCCTTTGTAGTAACCTGAGTCACATTCCTGCAGGTGTATCCCTAGGAGTGATATTGCTGGATCATATGGCAGATCTGCTTAGTTTTTTAAGAAGCCTCTAGGAGAAAGATTTTTTAAAATGCAAGCATAGCCAGGAGTGATGGCACATGCCAACAATTCCAGTTACTTGTGTGGTAAAAATAGGAGGGTTGTAATTTGACGTCAACCTAGGCAAAAGTTAATGAGACCCAATATTAAAAACAAGTCAGGCATGGTGGAATGTGCCTGTAATTCCAACTACTTGGGGAGTAGAGGTAGGAGGATCATGATCCAAGACTGACCTGGGCAAAAGTGTAAGACCTCAAATGAAAAACAAACCATAAAAGACTGGACACATGGCTCAAGTAGTCAACTGGTAGAGCACTTGACCTAGAAAGTATGAAGCTCTTACTTCAATCACTAATACTGAAATAAATAAATAAGGAAACAAAGAAAGAGAGAAAGAAAGAAAGAAAAGAGAAAAGAGAGGTCAAGAAATAGGAAAAGAGAGAGAAAGACAGAAAAGAGAAGGAAGAGAAGAAAAAAGAAAGGCAGAGGAAGAAAGGAAAGCAGAAAAATGGAAGGTTACAAGGCATGTTTATTTTCATATGGAATTGTCATCCACTGTTTCTTACCTTTTCATATGCTGAAACACAAGGGATTAAGTTTATCTCATGGAACTGACTAAACACAGCAGTGCCTAATTTTACTTTTAATGTTTTTATAATATTAAACACTTCATTTGAAGAATAAAAGGACTGATCTCAAAGTTTAAATTAATTACCCTCTATAATAAAACCATTTACAATAAAACCATTAAAGCCATAAAGCTTAAATTTCTATGATCTTTCCATGTTTTGTGTCTATTTTCCCATAGCTTTACTACCTTAGCACATTCTTGTCTGATAGTACTCATTTGGAACACTGTAGTCCTGGGATTGGGTAGTAATTATTTGACAAATTACATGAAAAGGAGATAGTTATCACATACCCATGGAGACATCCTAGTTCCTGAGCAGGCTGAATTTAGGTTCCCATGCAAATAAATATTTAGCAACAACACTCCATCCTCTTAGCTTTGAGAGTTAATGGTTTAGCAAGCTTCTAAGACCTCAGAGGAATCAAGTGCGTATTAGGTTGCCTAATGTAAAGAGAAGAAGAGGAAATGAAGGGAAGATGCCACAAGGAGATCCTCTCCCAAAGTGGAGTAAAATGGTGACAAGGTACTTGTTTTAAGGATTGAGGGTTTTTAAATTTCTCTGAATTGGCTTAATCTAAAAAGACTTCAGTGAAAAGATGTGTTTTGATTGTTCTGATGAGTAAATCACAAAGTTATTATATGTCAATCATCTTCTAACTTGTTTAATTTCTATGAAATCAAGGAAATCTTTATGCACAGATACTGAAAAATCATTTGCTGCCATTCACAAAAAAAAGAAAATGATTCTAACAATTACCTAAATAGCTAGATTTCTAATTACTAACTTTATTGCTCATTGTTCTTTCAGATTCTAAGAGTACATAATTTCTAGCATCTATTTCTTTCCTTATAAGGCATTATTATTTTCAGGCTACAACCAATCACCCCAGTACCTTTCTGACTCACAAATTCTCAGCCCATTCTCCAACAGAGAGTGAGTCATGGTGCTGGAGAAAAGTAGCTTCTGTTGTTGCCAGCTATAACGAACACTCTTAGTTAACTGCTAAATTTTCACTCATTTGCTAATAAGTAATTGGCCAAGGATCTTGGTTAGTGCTTCTTAGCCTATAGTGATCCTAAGAATTACCAGAGGTAATCATTTAAAATGCATATTTCTGGCCCCTTGTTCTAATTTGCAAGGTCTGTGGTAGAGCTTGGACATTGCCATTTTAAATAAGAATACCAGGTAAATCCTCTAACAAGGTGCTTGTAGACAATGTGGGGAAACAGAGATGCAGACTTGGGAAGCTGAGATTGTCCTTACCCTCAGCCTGCTGAGGACTAAAATATCTATGAGAAGGATGATGAAGTCAAAGGTTTACATGTAAGTACTTGACCTTTGATTCTGAAGTAAACTTTCTTAATGAAGATAGCCTCAGAAGCAGATAGGAACCTTCATTAGTACCTTTCCTTGGCCCCTTTTGCATCCTGCCTTATGTGTTGCTAGCACCCCCTTCCCATTCTGTCCTCTGCCATATATCAGAGACTGTGATCATATAGATTCAGGGTTAAGTGGCAGTGGGAGTAGATTTAGGTTCATGCTAGTAAAAGTGAAAGTGTTATGGCTGTGAAATTTGTATTGAAAATGATTTGAAACCAAATAGAGAAAACAGGATCAGAGAAAAACCCTGATCCTGGAGTAAGACTAAGATGCTGACCAAGCCAGCAAGGGAATAGTGGAGAGAGAGGTAGAAATGGCTGTGCTATGCAGCTAGCAGTGTCAGTTGGTCATTCCATGCAACTGCCCATGATGGGCATTCCGGTCCACTGAGCATGCCCAGTTTGTGTGACTGACTTTCACCAAATAGAACAATCAACAAGATCACCTAAAGGCTTTACCAACATCAGGCCAGTAAAGTGACTAGTGAAAACTATTCTCAATGTTTTGATCAATGGACCCAAGTTTGGGAAGAGTAACTCCTTTGGTCTATAAAAATGGTTTGAGTCCTAGTCTCTAATTTCTTCCTCTTCAAGTACTCTGGTCTCCACCAAAGGGACAATATTCAGTGAGATGCAGCTATCTTGTTGGTCGGCAGGAGTTCAGAAGCAAGAAAATGTCATAGTGGTAGAACACAGCATCTTCCTACTTAACAGCAAACCCATCACTGGAAGCTCCCAGATCACTGTGCCAATCAAGTGGAGGAGAGACTTTCATTTAGGCAACCTTATGTGAACCTTATATGAGAAACTTGCCAAACTGCTTTGTTGATTTTTAGCATTATTATTTCTGGTACTTAAGTGCTGACTCTTAGAAAGACTAAAACAGCCAAACATAACTCCCATCATGGAAGAATCCACAGGTAAGCATCACAGGATCCTAAGGAATTAAGGCTTTGCTGTGTGTTTTGTGTCTGAGTAATAATGTACATATGACAGTCTGGGGGATGATGTGGAAGATCTATACACTTAAAGATTTTGTTAAATGTTTTGTTAAAGTCAGGTTGTTTCCCTGTATTCTTCCTTTATTTCAAAGCAATAAATTCATGCTGATTGTGAAGGACCAATGATAGACTAGAAGCCTGAGACATGATTGTGCTCTATCTGCTTTAAAAATGTATAATCTACCGAAGAAAATGTCTGCATGTCAAAGAAAGGCAGTTTCTTGTTTAATTTTAAATATTTCATGAATTCTTTTGGAAATATTTTCTCCCAATTTTCAAAGATGGCTGCCTTTCTGCTTTGCCAATGGGATGTTGTTTGATTTGGAGGTTCATAGAAAGTCTCTACCTCCAAAAGCATCCCTCCTGCCAACCTGAAAGTGTTCAAGTCTTTCAACTCCAGTTTTGTTGCTGCTGCTGTTGTTTCCTAGAATGTTTCTGACTGAAGGACATATGTGCCTAGAAACTGCAAGTCAAACACTTAGGTCTTTGTCAGGAAAGAGCAAGGTTTTATGATCATAGGCCCAGAAGAAGGACCTAATGGGCAGGGAAGGATAGATAGAGGGAAAGAAGGCCTGGTGCCAGGGGAGGGGGGGAAGACAGGGAAGATGTTAAGGGAGGAAGAGTGGGGAATAAAGTAGTATCTTTTTTTACCATTGTCTTCTATTGCTCAAGATAGGAGTAAGGACTGCATCTCATTGATCCTTAGAGCCAGTCCTAGCTAGGGAAGACATATAGGATGATGCACACTTGATTGGAGAGATACATAGAAATCCAGTATTTTTTATCTCATCAACATTGAATTCAGGTTTCAAAATAATTATTAAGCATGGGCTAGTTTCTAGTGTATCAGGTTATGAAGTATGGATGATACCATTCATACATCAAAGAGCTAGCTAAGAGTCAAGGAAGAGAGAAAGGATGGGGAGTGTGGGGAAACAGAGAACAATGAATTTTTTGTGACTATTACAAAATAATTAACAGAAGAACATTTCAACATATTTTTTAAATTTTTTTGTTGTTATTGTGCTGGGAGTACATTGTAACATTTACAAAAGTTTTTACAATATATCACAGTTGAATTTATTTTAATTCTTCTTTTCTGTGCTTTTTAGAGATGTTTGGAGATATCAACCTCACTCTTGGGATGCTGAACAAGGAAGATAACATTAGCAAGGTAAGGCAAATAGGGAAAACTATCCTTCCCATTCACCTTTTCTAGTCCAGTTTTTGCAACATTTCATACACTTTCTTCTTTGTTTCAACTTCCTTATATTTATGGCATTAGATTTTTTTTAATTCAGTTGCAATGAAAATCATTATAATGGTGAAAGGATGGCACTTACTTCAAGAATCATGATATCCACTTCCAGAATCTAGTAAAGGATGCCCTATTCATAATCTTCTACAGGTAGATATGGAAAAAAGGGGGGATCTCAGACTTACAGCCATGTGAGTTGGAGTCTCCTCCTTTATAATATGAGAGCTCCTAGAAAGTCTCTCTCACTCATATATAATGCTATTTCACAACTAGAAAATTCCTCAGAAAATTGAAGGCTTATCAGACTTCAACAGCCGAAATAACAAAAGATAAGTGCCTTTCATTGAGCACTTATCTAGGAAGTGGAGTGCCTGATGTTTTCCACACAATAGTGCAGTATATAATATTCATTTCTCACAACAACTTCATGAAGTAGGTATTTCTGCTTCCATATGACAACTGAGAAAAATGAAGCACCGAGAAGTTATATGACTTGTCCAAGTAAGAATAGCAATGCTACATCCAAACACAGGCCCATCTAACTCAAAAAAAAAATACTGCCTAATAATTATTCAATATTTCCTCCCTGTGAAGAACAACACCTATAACTTTTTCTTTTAATTTGGAGATTCTTAATCTTAACTGTATATTAAAAAATCTTAGAGAGTTTTGGAAAAATGCCAATGGTCAGGCCCCATCACCAGTGATTCTGATTGAGTCAATCTGTTATGAATTTAGGCATTTGAAGTTTATGGACACTATCCTAACATTTAGGTATGTTAGGAACCATCATAATAATCTTTTAATAGGAACTAATTTTCCTATACAACTCTATTTCTCAAACATTTGGAAGCACTTGGGAAATGATTTCTGGACCCCACAAGTACTTCAGCAGAATTTCTAGGGAAGGGACCAAAGAAGGTGTACTTTTAGCAGCCACCTCCAAATTGCGCTTATGGTGAGGCAAGGAAGAAATGCACCAAGCTAAGATTCAGATACTTAGGTTCATTTAACACAAATTCTTCATTTAAAAATGAGTCTATTAGTGGCATCTAACATATAAAGGCTTATTGTGATCATTAAGAAAATGTTCCAGATAAAAGGCCTTGACCAGTTCCAAGAGCATGGTAAGGGCTCCATGAGTGTGAGCCTTGCAAAGAAAACAAAGTTTGCAAATAGCAGAGAAATTACACGGAGTGAGAGACAGACTCATGGATAGTTAAGCAGTCTCTGAAAGCTAGAAGATAAAGAAAGCTAAGACAAACTATCCCCATTCTCAAAAGTTTCCAAGGGTCAACCCTAAGGAGCAGTGTAAAGAAAATTATTCCATACCTTAAACACAGGTGCAGTACCTGGAGATTCATGCTTCAGACTTATGGAGAATTCAGAGCACCAGGCTCTCTTTCATCTTCCCTAGAACACAGTCACGTATGGCATTTAGAGAAGCCCACACATAGGCATCTGCTCAAGCCATATGGTTACAAAAGCTACAGTTCTCTCCAAAACAGGAGTCACAATCTCATTGTAGCAAAGGCATGAATGAAACAAGGGCCTATTTAACTCTCCCTTAGGATCCAGTTTCACAGTATAGCGGCGACTTTGGAAATTATAGTGTGCTGCCTAGTACCATACTTGTCCCGCTACCCCAATTAGGGTTATGGGTAATTCCATTCTCCTGCGATGTTACAATACTGGCTTTCAAGAGAATTGCATATGTGAATAACCTGACCCTGCCTTCAATTAGATCTTGCTATCGAAATATAAGTTAAAATAGTTTGTAGAATTATTTTTGCTCTACATATAAACCACTGACTCCTAAAGATTCAGGAAACCTGAATTAAGATGCATAAAATCCATCATGTAGTAAAAGTATATTGCTAAGTTTAGTGATGTTATTTATTTGGACTTCATCTGACTTCTTTATTTTTGCAACCCAAATACCTGTTGCAAAAATACCCTTCTATGTTCACAGGAAGACATTTACAGCCATCTCACTTCAGTTATTCAGAATACTGACATCTTGGATGATGCAATTATCCAACGGTTGATTCATTACACTTCTAAGGACATGCGAGATGAAAGTGTAAGTCTGATTCTTGCTGCTAAATCATCATCAAAGCCAGCAACAGGGTAAGTGACCCAACTGCACCTCTGTGGATACACAGAAACATTCTTCCATGGCTTCTAGGACAAGAGATAATTCATTTGTTCTTCATTGGATACAGTTACAGTGCCTGCTGTTTACCCTTTCACCGTTAGGAAAATTGAGACAAATGTAAGAAAGACTTTAGAGGTAATATCATTCAACTTTCTATTAGATGAATAAAGAGACTTTTTTTTCCAAGGTAGCACAGCTATGTATTGACAGAACAAGTAACTAGAACCCAGTTTTCTTGGCCCCCATATGACTTCTTATCTCTTTATGTGCTTCCTTATCTTGGATTGTCAGACCTTTTCTAAATATCAACTCAGTAACTTATTACACTCTATATCACAGTCGTTAATGCGTTTAGGAGTGCATATTTTTAGTATCTTGTCCTGATCTTTTGATTTTTCTCAGCAGGAAGGTGGATCAAATTACCTAGCTCACCATCAACAAAAGCAGACATCCCTCCCAATATTTCCAATATTGAAGATAATTAGACTTGATAACACCAAAGTCAACACTTTCAACTCCTGGCCCATTTCCTTTCCCACAGTAATTTGTATTGTTTAAGCATAAAACATAAATTCTGTATTTATTGTACTTGATCAATTAGCAAAAAAAAACACCTAATAGCTGGGCATGGTGGCCCATATCTGTAGTCCCAGTACTTGGGAGGCTGAAGCAGGAGGATGGTAAGTTCAAGGCCATTCCTGGGCTGCATGGAGAAAATTCAAGGCTATTATGGGCTACATAATGAGATCTATGGAAGAAGGAAGGGAGGAAGGAAGGAAGGAAGGAAAGAACGAACAAACGAATTGAAAGGAAGGGAGGGAGGAAGGAAGGAAAAGAAGGGATGGAGGGAGGAAAGGAGGAAAAAAAGAGAGGGAGGGAGGGAGGGAGGAAGGAAGGAAGGAAGGCAGGCATCTATTGGCCCCAAATTCATAACAACCATACTTAAACTGTTTTTAAAGTGCATTAAAAACTCTCCTTTTTCCCAACTACTCACACCTGTGAGTCTTTTTCAATGGGTTTGTAACAGCCAGTTCTCCCTCTATCCAAATCTAGATACACTTATAAAACTTCATAGTCTATTTCCCCTCTGTAGACTCGCTCTGCTCTTCCTATAGTTGTTACTGTTACTTTTCTTTTCCTTCTCAGATTCTCAGAGAAATCAGAATGCTAGCTGGTGAGGTGTTGGTCTCTCTGGCTGCTCATGATTTCAACGCTGTGATGTACGAAGTACAAAGTAACTTCAGGATTCTAGAGCTGCCAAATGAATTTGTTGTGCTTGCCCTGGCTGAACTGGCAACCAGCTATGGTATAAAGGGAACACTCTCCACATTTTCCCTAGGAAACAAACCACCCCTGAGTAATTGTCTAAAAGTCAAATGAGAGCAAATGGCCAAAGGGAGAGTATCCCTACCTTGTACTGCACTAAAGAATATTGATAGAGTGTTGTGGGTCCTGTTTATGAACACAGATTAGCCTGCCAATCAGTCATTAATCCAGGTGGCACTTAATTTGGCCCAGCTCTCTTCCATCCTCGTCTCCCTCTTCACCTGGCTTTATGTTGGCAGAAGTACACTTCTCATAGGGCATATTCTGCAAACAACTGAGCATTTACATGACTTAGAGGTTTCCTACCATTTGTTTCCACACTACTTTAACAGATATTATTGTGAAACTGTTATATTGACCAGGCCATGCGGATGTAGTCAAAGTTGTATCAGAAGTATGAATGTTACTAACTATCCTGACAAGCAATTGCCACTAAACAACAGGTGTAGGTGGGTTTTTTTTTAGCTAATATCTTCTTTTGCACCTACCACTCACTGATTAACAACAGCATGGTATTAAGATGGGGGAGGAGGGGATAGAGGAGAACGCCTCCCTGTGGCACCTCACCCACCTCCTCCACACAGCTCGGATGCTAGGCAAGGTGAGAACTGCCCATGAGAGAAGATGAGTAATGCTTTTCTCCTCCCACCCCTCACTGCAGTACGTCAGAGCACTCCCTTCATGACGATGACACTGCTCACCATGCAAACCATGCTCAGGCTGGCAGAGGAAGAAAGGATGAAACAAACTTTCTGCATTGGTGAGTATCCCTGTCATTCACTCTTTCTTTCTTAAGACCACACTGCAAACTGTCATGAAAATCGAACAAAAGTTTTGTTTTTCTTTATTCCCAAGGCACAGCTCCAGTGAAGACCCACTTCCTCCCACCAGGCCCCACCTCCTAAAGTTTCCACCATCTCCTAAAACAGTGCCACCAGCTAGGGACCAACACTGCAAGGAGCAGTTCATTGTCAAACCAAAACATTATCTAAGTGCCCTTTGGTCCTAAAGCAACTTTTTGCCTGACTGCCCCTAAAGAAGTAGTGTAAAATTTAATACCCGTCCTTCTATCCATCCTCCCACTTCTAGGCATTTGAGCAATCAGAAAATAAGCAAATGTTGTGCTGGCTGTTTTGGATACCATGGTCTGACCAGATGTCATTCCTTTTCTCATGTTATATACATGAGAATTACATGTGGGAGTAACACACAAAATCATGACAAAATGTAGGTAGAAATTCTCAAAGAAATCAGGAGTCTGTAGGGAATATGAATAAGCTAATAATTGGCCAGCTCAAACTGCCATATCCAGGGCTTTTCAAGTATACTTTGCAGGTGCGGTATCCTTAAGGTAATGAGCCATGAATTCTCTTTGTCATCTAGTGAATTGCGTAGCATGAAAGCTAAAGGAAAAATATTATGAGTTGATGTGTTTCATGCAAATATATGTGGATTAATCACCCAAATGATATTTTTCAGGCCAAAGATTATTTTTATATTGTATTAAAGTGCAACATAAATACAGAAGAGCATATAGGTTAGAGGTATGATGAGCTGTTACTAAGTGGAGCAATCCATGCGACCATCATTCAGGTCAAGAAGTGCCATGCCAAGAAGCTTCCTCATGTTTACTCTACATCTTAACTTCCATCATTATCAGCCTTATCTGTTTGTGAGGTTGCTGCATGTTGTTCATTATAGATGCAGTCCATTATCCTTTCCACTCTATATTCTATTACATCCATCCTATAATTTGCTTTTCCATTCTACCTATTGGAAAATATTTGGATCATTCTGTTTCAGGCTGTTAAAAAAATTCCTAATATGAACATTCTTGTACAAATTTTTGGTGCCTGTTTGTGTGCATATCTAATGTCTGTATACCAAAGACTATATACATATAGAATGTATATTCAGCTTTGTAGATAGTGCCAGAGTTTTCCAAAGCATTTAATACCAATTCCACTCCCACCAGCAGTATGTGAGAATACCAACTATATCTTAGTCTTGTCAACACTTGGCATTGACTATATCAAATATTATCCATTCTGGATGGTGTATAGTAATGTATGATAATATGGGGGGTTGTTTGTTGTAGTTTTGGGGTTTGGGGTTTTTTTGGAAATACTAAAGTTTGAACTCAGAGCCTCATGCTTGCTAGGCAGGCATTCTACCTCTTGAGTTATACCCCCAACCCTTTTTGCTTTAGTTATTTTTCCATTAGGGCCTTGTGTTTTTGTCCAGGACTGGTGATCCTATCTATGCATTCACGTTGCTGCAAATATAGGCACATGCTATTAATTTGACAAAGCACTTTTTATGTTTGATGCAGTTATAAAATTATATAGAAACTAATATGTGTTTGAAATAATAAAAATATCGAAAAATTATAAAAAATAGAAGAAACTACTATGCATTTGCTAATCATCAGTACTCTCTTCTCAAATTATTTTATGGTTTTTCACATCTTTATCTTTTTCTCAGTCTATGGTTGTATTTTTTAAACACAGCCCTTGAGAAGTTCAGCAAAGCGATTTACAAGTATGTCAACCACTGGAAAGATTTCCCCTACCCCAGATTGGATGCCAACCGACTCTCTGACAAGATCTTCATGCTGTTCCGGTACATAATGGAGAAATGGGCCCCCCCAGGCCTCGCCCATGCATGTGAGTGGAGCCTCAGGATATCTCAAACTGGATCTCCCTTCATGCTGATTACATCCTCTTTAGTCTAGACTTAAATCGTATCCTATTTTTGTCTCACTATGTAATATATACATATATGAGATATAAAAGGTTTAACCTTTAGCTACCTTCTCTAGTTCAGTTTCTTTTCTACACTTTAAGCTACTAAGGCATTTTTAAATCATTCTGAAGTAGTTAAATCACTAGCAAGCATAGAATTTTTTAAATTCCTCTGTTTTGTGAAATGATAATTAAGCTCAGTATTTTTGGTTTGGCTTTGTTTTGGACATTATTCATTGTGTTTTGGGAGTTTATTGAATCTTCCAATTTTTCCATCTATCTCAAATCACTGATTATTCATCCTTTCATCTTGTACTTGAATCCCCATGTCATACCAAATGTTGGGGATATAGCTAGGATTAAACATACCAAAATCCCACTGTCAGGAAATTGATATTTCAATGTGTAGGGAGAAAAAATGAGTAAAACAGAGAGAATGGTAGCTATTTCATGGTTCATATATCATATATGAGCTGGGTCAGTAACTGGGAAAAACAAGAGACCACAAAAATGTCTGGTGTTTATGAATATCACAATTAAAAAAATAACATCTAAATAAAATGAAATACTACACTGTGTCACAATTCCATAATGCTTTATAGGGAATGGGTCACAAAGTGCATTCACATATATAATTCCATCCTTATCTTGCTAAACTGCTGTAATTTTTTTAAGTAGGCTAAATTATATTCTATTTAAGTCTCTTTATTATTCTATTATAAAAAGCTTAACACCGAGCTACATTTTCTAGTTGTCTCTCTTTTACTTTTCAAGAGACCTAAAACAAAATCCAGTGCATCCATTTGATGGCTACTGTCCTTGCTTCTCATAGGAAGAGCCAGGCAAGTGAAAAGAAAGATACACAAAGTGGTAAGGGAGCACAGAATGGAAAGCACTCATGCCTTGGGGAGCCTGAGGGCTGCAGTCCTGGAGCTCAGCCTTGCAGCCCATGCCATTGGCTCACCATGAGGATTGTGCATTCTGTAAGGAGGGAATCCAACCCACTGCAGCACAGGCTGGAGATGGGGCAATAATAGGCACACTTCAGTGAGTTCAGGGGGAAGAGAAGAGAGGAAAGGAAATTAAAAAAAAAAAGAAAGAAAGAAAGAAATGAATGAAGCCAGAAAGATGCTCTTGGCCACCTAAGGACTTCAATATTGCCCAGAAGTCTGGACTTCTTAAGAAATGAGAAGCCCTGGAAGAGTTTGTAGCAAGGATTCAAATATGAGAATAATCATCAGGCAGGTGGCTCACCCTGAAATACTAGCTACTCAGGAGGCAGAAATTAGGAGGATCACGGTTCAAAGCCAGCCCAGGCAAATAGTATGCAAGACCCTATCTAAAAAATATCGCACACACATACACACACAAACACACAAAGGACTGGTAGAGTGGGTCAAGGTGAAGGCCCTGAGTTTAAGCCCCAATACCAAAAAAAAAAAAAGAAAAAGAAAATCATTCATAAGTTAACATTAAAGATGAATCCTAAGGCAAGAATACTGTAGGCAGTTGAGAGATACTCCAGATCATAAATGGTAAGGGAAACAATTGATGTAGTGTTAGAGATACAGGAGTCGGATGCTGAAGAACAGATTCAACAGGATTTGGCATCAACTGGATGCTTATAACTGGGGAAAGAGACACATGCGGGATGACACCTTGATTTTTGATTTAAGTGATTTTGGGGTCACTAATTTAGATAAGAAAAGCAAGGGGAAAACAAATTGGGGGAAATACAAAATGAGTTTTGGAGGCAGTACTAAGGCTTGAACTCAGGGCCTGTGCTTGCTAGGCAGGCACTCTACCACTTGACCCACACTGCCAGTACTTTTTGCTTTGTTATTTTTGATATAATCAGGGACCGGCCTAGGATATAACCAGTCCCTGAACAGCTGGGATGACAGGCGCATGCTACATAACCCAACTATCATTGAGATGGGGTCTTGAGAACTTTTTGCCTGGGCTGGACTTTAATTATGATCATCCTAAAGTCTTCCACCCAAGTAGCTAGGATTGAGCCACCAACTCAAAATGAGTTTAATATATCATTTTGACTTGAATTTCTGCAGTGTATTCAAGTGGAAATATTAGTTGGCTTGAGAATATTCAGGATTGGAGGTTAAGAAGAAAATCAAAAACTAGAAACATAGGTTTGGGCACCATCACTATTTAAGTGACAACTGAATAAATGGTTTTAGATAATTCTTCAAGGAGTGCATGTAGAGTAGGGAGCACCAAAAATAGAGTTCTGGGGGAAAGCAAAGGGAGAACTCATGATGGAGTCTGAACTGTGGTGTAAAGGAGTCAGAGAATGAAGGAGGATGAGCTCTTAGGAACTAAGAAGAAGAAATTCCCAAGAAGCAAGTAAAGATCTGTAGAGTCCATTGTTACAATGCTCAAGCAAGAAAAACTTGCAGTTGGTGGAGTGGCTCAAGTGGTAGAGTGCCTGCCTAGCAAACATGAGATTCTGAGTTCAAACCCCAGTGCTGCCGGAGGAAGAAAGAGAAGAAAAACTTTGAAATACTTCATTGCATGGAAATGTGTGGCAGAAGCACCATTCAGCTGACACACAGTCTATTTTTTTCTTTTATTCATATGTGCATACAATGTTTGGGTCACTTCTCCCCCCTTCCCATCACCCCCTTCCTTACTCCCCTGCTCCCACCCTCTCCCTCTCACCCCCTCGCTACCAATCAGAAAGTATTTTGCCCTTATCTCTAATTTTGTTGAAGAGAGAGTACAAGCAATAATAGGAAGGACTAAGGGTTTTTGTTAGTTGAGATAAGGATAGCTATACACGGAGCTGATTCACATTGCTTTCCTGTACATGTGTGACACACAGTCTTGAGTGGAATAAATGGTTGTCATTATTTGCCACTGTTTTGAGGTGATTTCTAGCAGAATAAAAACTAAAAAAATTATCACATGATATGATTTTTAAAAAGTAGACAACAGAAGTATATATTAAAGAATGGTGTCAATTATTTAAAAATTAAAATGTCTAAAATAAAAGAGGAAAAAAATATAACAAACAATGGTTATCTACATGTCCTTGTGGGTTCTACTTTTTCTTTATCCTAATATTTATGATATTACTTTAGAATCAATATTTATTATATCTGTGTTACACTCTGGAAGTTGTTCATTTTCCATGTCAAATGGAAGCCAGATTGTATTGGATGAGGGGTGAGTGGGAAGTGAAAAGTGGGAACAGGAAATCCAAGCCACATGTTCTAAAAGCTTTACTCCAACAAGAGGGAAAGAGAAACAGAATCTAGTGGGAATAATAGTGAGGAGGCCAAGGTGATATGGAGAAACTAAATGTTTTTTATATGAAGAAACTGTTGATTCATTGGTATATTGAAAGAAAATTACTTAGATGTTGAAGAAATAGGAGAGAAGGGCAAGTGTCAAAATGCATATCCATGTAGCTATGGATAATGAATACAAATCCAACTCTGCCTCATGCGATGGTCTTCACCTAAGCATTTTTTTAAAGCTTTTTATAGACATTTTTCTTGTTTAAAAACAGTGGTAAAATTGTTGGGTTTTTTCCTTGGTGGGGGGTGGGGAGGTTGGCAGGGGACAGAGTCCCTACAGCTCTTGGTACTGAGACACACACATAGAGTATAACAAAGTGTTAGCAATGGACTTGTTTGCTACCTCTACAGACTTTGGCCATAATTAAGGCCCATGGCCCTGCTGTGAGCCTGCTGCTGCATCGGGAAGACTTTTCTGAATATGCTCTAAGTCAGGTGACCTGGCTTCTGAACCAGTATACAGACACAGAGACCGATTTCCATGTCACTCAGGTGAGAGCCATGTCCTAAAGGAATGGAATCAGAGAAGCCACCAACAACCCTCCTGAGGATACTAAGTCTCAGAGGGCCCCCAGAAATTAAATACCTGTTTGGGCAACTGCAGTTAAATACCTCTTGGGAAATAGAGGGCAGAGAGAGGTTGTTGTGACTACTTATAGAAACTCCAGAAAGGGATGAACAATTTTCATTCCTAGCTAACCTATGAGTGCTTCCATTTTAGAGTCTAAAGCAGATATTGACTGCAGCAGTACTTTATGACAGTGGCATTCCTAGGAACCTGAGAAAATCTATCTTTATCAATTTACTCCACCAGGTAAAAAGACTATGCTTTCACATGTGAGTGTTTGATTTTAACCTGCTGTCTGTTTTTAACATATCCCACCTTATTTTTGCTCCCTGATCAGATCTGCACAGTTCCAGAGCCTCCAGTAAAAGAAAATGAAATTGAAGCTTCAAACTGTTTTCTCATTCTAGGTAGGACCCAGCACCAAACAGGTGTTAATAAAAATGCCTCCAAGTGAGGAAGATGACAATGGTAAAGGGTGTGCAAACTCTGTCACTTTAGTTACTTCTACGCACAGAGTGGTTCCTCAGCTCACAGTGTGCTGCGCCTCCCCTCTACTCACAACTTCCCCATGAGAAACAGAAAAGGTAGGGTGACCAATCACGCCAGGCTAGATATCCGGGACTGGGGAGTTCTGAGGAGACAGAACTATCAGTTCTTAAACCAGAACAGTCCCAGAAAAATCAGGATAAATTGCTAACTCTAAGGATAAATCACTTTTTCTTGGGTATTTGAGATTATGTGAAACGGTCAAAATCACCTTTTTTGTGACACTGGTCATTATCTAAGCCTCTTTAGTCATCTCTCCCCTACCTGCTCTCTTCCTCTTCCTCCTCCACCACTCTTTTCACTTTTTTTCTCACCCTTGCAACACAGCATCACAACCCTGTGTCACGTGCTTGACACAGGCTGTAAAGGAGCCACAAAAGTCCTGGACGAGGACACCCATGCCTCAGTACGGTGCCTGAGCGTGGGGGAGCAATCACTCAGTACCCCCACACTCCGTCCCCCCACTCACTTACACACACACAAAAGCCTCATTCTCCAGCCTCATCGCATACCTTTCTATTACGCTCCGTCCATCTCTATACTGCCTTCGTCCCCCTCAGCCTAATTAACAAATTCATTTTTTCTCTGACAATTTCCAAAACAAACTGCTCTCCTCCTGCCAGGCATTTCACCACTCTCTCCTGCAGCGCTCCAGGCTTCACAGCTAGTGAAGCCTCACACCAGTCTCTGCCTCTGTCTCCACATGATAGTCTTGCCATGTCCCTGCCTATGTGAAACAAGTTACATTGAACTAGGACTCCCTCTAATGACCTCCTTGTAACTTGATTATATCTGCAAAGACCCTAATTTCCAAATAAGGAAAATTCCCAGGTATGACCAGAAATGTGCTTAGGTACAGAAAGTTCCCTTAGTAAACAAACTGCTTAATTAATTCTGTGGTACTGAGGAAGCATGGCCACCATAAAGTCAAATTACCAACTGAACAGTGGTCTTGACATTCTCATGATTGAAATTCTCTTCCCACTCACAAGCATTTTCCCTAGGAAGAAAATGATTTCTTGGTCACATTGTATGTGTGTGAAAAATGTTATAATGAAGCCCATTATTTTGTACAATTAAAATATGCCAGTAAAATAAAGTTTAAAAAAAAAATGAGAACTGAACCTGGTGTTTCTAAAACTGCAGCCCATTCCAATACTTCAGACCTGCTTGAATTTTTTGATGAACAAATAAGAAGTAACAATGAAGCTGTTCGAATGGGAATCTTGACTTTATTAAGATCAGCTATCAATGCTGAGGGTGAGTATTAGAGACAAAGCCAGAGTGGTTTATTTCACACCAAGAAGTGAACTGGAGACTGTGTGTTCTCTAATCCTATTCTGTATCTTTTGGTTTTTATTTTTGTATAACATCACCTGTGAGTAAACTGTCTTCTTGGCCTTCTATAATCTACTCCTTTAAACATGCATTTTTAGTTACCTCTCTTTTTTTGTATTTATGGATACTTTTCATTGAGGAAGATAAGTAGAATTTTTAAGAATCAAATTTAGAATTTAGAAAATCAGTAGGTTGGTGAAGTGACCTAATAATAAACAGGGAGTGGGTGGCAAGAGTGAATAATTTTCTACAGATTGGTACATTTAGAAAAGAACAAAATTTAATGACTTACCATTTCTCATTACTTCCAAGTAGCACACATTTTCATAATATTAAATGTATCTTTAAGTTAATAGCATCTTTAATTATAATTGTCCACAATTTTTTCCTTTTGTTTATAGTGATGCATCATAAAATTGATGATATCTTGTATTCAGTAGAATATGAGATTTCATTTTGACGCAGCATAATATAGTTTTTAGAAATTTAGTTAGCATTCTTATTTACTGAAGCATCATCAGATAGAACTACCAAAGTAGTCTTGCAAAGTTTAGAGCTACTTCATTGGGCATGATGTATTGAATCCATGATGAAAATAAAGCAAGATTAAAAACATGTAATAGGAAGCAAAAAAAGCAATTGACATAGTTAAAGACTGGAAAAGAAGAGAGTAGGAGGAAGATGAAGAACAAAATTTAGCAACAAGAGGTTTTCATCAATCCTAAAACAAACTGTTCTCCTACTGAGTCTGACCTCACAATTTCTCCTTTTGTCTTTCAGAGCCCAAGTTGAGGGACCATATCACTTCAATTGAAAGAACAGTCAAAGTTGTCATGGGTGACCTTAGTATAAAAGTAAGAAAATTAATAGGGAGTTTTATTTGGTTAATGGTACTTTTAGGAATAAATGAAATGATTCTGGTTCCTGAAAGATTTACTATGAGACTACTTTATAAAGAGTTCAGTAATCAATGTCATTTTTAAAAGAATTCAAACCCAAAAAGATAAACTACATCAAGGTGTAGAGTCCAAAATTATGTACAGTTCCAGGGCATCTCAGAAGAAAAAGTGCTTTTGCCCATAGCAGCACTACATCATGCTCTTCAGATAGTTTAAAAATAAATGCTAATTTTTAAATAATGTGTTTTCCTCCCCAAATTAATAGTCCCTGAATCTTCTTCTTAGCATAGATACTCCATTTTCCAACCAGAGAATCAAGAGCAACTCATACACATATAGTAAACCCCTGATATTTGTGTATATGATTCTGAGACCACTGTTGAGAAAAAAACTACAAATGTCAGGATGCATAGAGTTCAGTACTCTAAAATCCACACTCAACAGATAACACAACTTAAACACAACTGATAATAACTGGGAACTTCTCTACATCAACTGAGCTACAGAATGTGTGCACATAAGTTTAAAATTTTTGTTTCAGAAATTTCTTTTTATTTTTTATTACTTTTTCCATATTTGGTCAAAATATGGAAACATGGAAATATTACCTATTCATGGTAATAATCCATGAATAGGGCAGGTTTACTGTAGTAGATTTCTCATTTTCTGATATTTGGTTAAAGTAGTCCATGTTAGAAAATATAGAACTTATGCTGAAAAAATCAAGAAAAATTCACAACCATTGTAATTTTTATGAAACATATACTTTGTTTGGAACACAACCCTTTGCAGAAGGCTATGAAGAGGAAAAAATTACAGGAAAGTAGAAAAGGACTTTTGGGGGAGAAGAAGGCGAACAGTGAGAGAGGGAGCAGGGAAGGGGGGGACAAAAGAAGATAATGAACAAAGTACATTTCATACATGTACGAAAATGTCCTGATGAAAACATTAAAATGTACAAAAATTTTTAAAGAGATGCATATTCTATAAGGACTTTCTTAGTGAAAATAAAATTTTAATATGCGGCGTTGTTTCAGCCCAAAGTTACCAACTTTTCATAATATATAATAATAGAGGATATGTCTCTGGGAATTGGAGAGAAAGATTTTTGTTAAAGAGAGCATCTCCAGTGATTCTGTAGGTAGGCTCTTGCTTCATCTGTTTATTGTAACATTATTTTTCAAAAGCTTCAACTATTGAATAGTTCATGATTTGGTTATAGGCTAAAAAGAGGTAAATTTCAATTCTGCCAAACTACTAGAAGGCTGTTCTTTCTTATTCTAGGTAAGGAAATGCACCCTTCTCCTCATCCAAACTATGTGTGAAAAGTGCTATATTGAAGCTAAGGAAGGATGGCCATTGATTGAATACATCTTCACCCAGTTTGCAATGTCTAACAGGAAACCGGTAAGAAGATGCTACAGTTTGTGTTGCACTATAGCAAGTGCAGTTGAGTCAATTTGACTTTAAAAATAACTTGACTGGGGGATAAGGTGTAGGAGGGTGAACACGATATCAATAATTGTGCACACATGTATGTAAATGGAAAAATGAGACTTGTTGAAACTATTCCAGGAAAGGGAGAGGAGAGAATAAAGGAGAATGATGGAAGGGGTAAATTCAACCATGATATATTGTAAGAACTTTTGTAAATGTTACAATGTACCCCCAGCATAACAATAATAACAAATCAAAAAAGAAAGAAAAGATAAAAATAATAACCCAATAGAAAACAATGGCCAACATAGTTTGAGTACAGTTCAGAATATATCTGAACTGTTATTAAATACATACAAAAAATTTAGCCTTATTAGTAATCACAAAATAGAAATAAAAATAATAAAATTTAAAAATAACTTGGCTCAATTAAATAACTGATTTTGAAGTTGTATTTAAGTCATCACTTTTGTTGATAATTTTTCTCAGCCTCTGGATCTCTAAGCTCCCTTTCACTAATATCACTTCTAACTTACAGTAATCACAAAGTAGCCTAAATCAGAGTTTTCTTTAAGGAGGTACCCCCATTCCACAGGTTTTGCATGGGGATGTTCGGAGAGGGACTGATAGAAGGAATTGAGTTAGAGACAAGAGATACCTATACCTGCTGCACTGGTGTCTTTGTTTGAGATGCTAAAACAAAACAAATGAACTGGCTTCCAGGTTAAAATGACAAATTAGAAGCTTCCTTCCATGTGACTCCATGAATAAGATGAGTCCCTGATTACAAAGGACAGACCATATTCTGAAGAAAGAAAGAGAAGAGGAACATCAGGAATAAAGAAAGAGGTAATATGACAGCTAAAATTCATGGCAAAACAGAAAGGCAATGCAGAGGAAAATAGGAACTAGTCCACAGACCTAACCCCAGTTCCCCAAGGAGCAAGGAAGCCAAAGCTGCAACTTCAAGGTATTGTTGCTATTATCTGAATTTTTTTTCCTCCTCTCTGAGTGGTACTATGGATTGAGCCCTCAAAAGAAGTCTGCTCACTAAGAAACACCCCCCATATAAGAAATATCCATCACAAGAGATATTAAAATTGCTACTTAGAAATATGAAAAAGAACAATATGACTCCTCTAAAAGTTCATAACTCTTCAATAACTAAATCCAAAGATATCGAAATGGTTGAACTACAAGACAAAGAACTCAAAAGTCTAGTTTTTAAAATTACCAATAGCTTCAAAAAAGATTTAATAGCCAAATGAATGAAGTAAAGAAGTCAATTCAAGACCAGAATAAGAATTCAAAAATCTGAACAAAAGATTTAGCAAAAAAGAGATTCTGGGAAAAAAATAAACAGAAATCTTAGAAATGAAGAGGCACAATAAATCAACTAAAAATCTCAAGGGAAAGTATCATCATAGAAGAGACTAGCTGGGATCAGGGACTGAAGGCAAGTTAGAGAAATTACTACATTCATATAGCAATAAAGGAAAGAGAAGCAATCATAATCACAACACAGAAGCCTTTTGAGGAACAATTAAAAGACCAAACCTACAAATATGTGATACAGAAGAGGGAAACAAAAGTCAGACTAAAGGCATAGAAAACTTATTCAATGAAATTGTATCAGAAAATTTCCCAAGACTAGAGAAAGAAATGGACATCAAATACCTGAGGCATATAGAACCACAAATAGACATGACCAGAAAAAAATCTCTCCATGTAATATTATAGTTAAAAATGCCAAGAGTACAAAACAAAAAGAGAACACTGAAAACTGCAAGAAAGAAATACTAAGTTACTTACAAAGGCAAACCTATTGGAATAACAGCAGATCTCTAAAAGAAACCCTTAGGGTCAAGGGAGCATGGACTGATATATATATTTTTAAAGCTCTGAAACAAACAAAACATGCCAACCAAGGCTATTATATCCAGCAGATATCCTCTAAAAGCAAAGGAGAAATTAAGACCTTCCAGGATAAGCATAAACTAAAGCAATTCATGAAGATTGCTGAAGATACCTAAAGGAATACTACACACAGAAAAGAAAGAAAATTATACAGAAGAATGAGGGCTGGGAAAGAATAAATCTCACAAGAAGAATAGGAAAACAAATTAGAACTGTGAAAGAATCAAACATTAACTCTGTGAACAAACTAATTTCTGAGATGAAGAAAGGAAAAGTTAGTACATACCTCTCAGTCATAATCCTAAATGTAAACAATATTAACTCTCAATTATAAGATTTAGACAGACTGGCCAGGTGCATTGGTTTGTGGCTACCATCTCAGCTACTTAGGAGGCAGAGATCAGAAGGATCGGGGTTCAAAACCAACACAGTCAAAAAGTTGGTGAGATTCCATTTGAATCAATAAAGTAGATGTTGTGGTATATGCCTGTCATCCCAGCTATATGACAGGCATAAAGAGGAGGATCACAGTCCAGGCCAGCTTGGGGCAAAAGCATAAGACCCTACCTGAAAAATAACTACAAATGAAAAAAGGTCTAGGGAATATGACTCATGTTAGAGAGGCTGCCTATAAGTGATGAACAGAGATGTTCAATATCTTTTGCCATCAAGGAAATACAAACAAAACTGCTTTGAGATTCCAAATTTACCCCAGTCACAATGCCTATCATCAAGTAAACAAACAACAGCAAATGCTGATGAGTATGTAGGGAAAAAGAAACCCTTAAACACTGTTGGTGGGAATGTAAATTATTGCAGTCACTATGGAAATCAGTATGGAGGTTCCTCAAAATCTAGAAATAGAACTACCATATGAATATACCACTCTGTTTCCTGACAGAATCAGTCAGCATACAATAGAGATACCTACACACCCGTATTTATTATGGCACAATTCACAACAGCCAAGTTGTAGAATCAGGTTAGGTGCACATCAATGGATGAATGGATAGAGAAAATGTGATATGTATACACAACGGAGTATTATTCAACCATAGAGAAGAATGAAAATTGTCATTTTTAGAAAAATTGATAGAACTGAAGGTAAGCCAAACACAGTAAGACAAATATTGCATGTTTTCTCTCAGATGTGGAATCTAGATTTTTTTTAAGTGACCTGAAATAGAAAGGAGACTATTTGGGAGAGGAAAAGGACTAGTGGGAGGTATAAGGGGGTACCAGAGTGAGAATGGGGGGGTGAACATGGTCAAAGTACATTGTATGCATATACGAAAATGTCTTAATGAAACCCATTATTTTGTACAATGAATATATGGTCATTTTGAAAAGGAAACAAACATTTATTTATCACAGTTCTGGAGGCTGTTCCAAGAGTCAGTGTCTGATGAAGGCCTACTTCTTCTTGTATGGTGCTTTCTCACTGTGTCCTCACACAGTAGAAGCCAGCTAGCTCTCTGAAGTCTCTTACACAGGGCAGTATTCCCAACCATGAGAGGTCTGACCTCATAACCTAATCACCTCTCAAAGGCCACAACTAGCCTCAAGGTGATTAGGATTTCAACATTTGAATTTTGGAAAGACACTTCAGACCATAGCAACTGGGGTTAGTGTCCCGTAGATGAAAAACATGTTTAAGAGCTCAAAGAGCATAGGAAGGTGGTCACAACTGAAATTATTGTCCACCTCAGCAGGAAACAGTGCTTTGAAATAAATTTTCCCTAGAGAAAATGGCCAAAGTCCAAAGGAGAAATAGAATGTTTATAACTTAAAGATCCTTACTATTTTTGCTTTTGTATATTAGCCAGGTGTGTATTTCACAGCTCATTCCTCCACCAGGTCTTTCAATTAAGAATAAAATAGGATCTTGGAGACAAAGATCACTGGGTTCTGTGAATCCCTTAAGTTGACTGATGACATCTTAACCTCCAAAATCAGAGAACACATTCAAGTAAGATTACAAGGACCAAGATGAGGGATTATTATCCCCTGTCTCATCTTTTTTAAAGGAGAAACCAGTGAAAACTAACTCCCAAGTGAATGAAAATGGAGAGAAACTGTTCAAGAAACAAGCCTTGAGGTCTTAAAATCCCTAGACCCACTAGTCATTGGAATATCTCAGGTAAGGGATCTGACTTACCACTTAGAATTACTTTATCACCTGCCTAAAACCATGCCCACTTAAGAGTAAAGACATGTATTTGTACTCTATGTGTCATCAGTGATGTTTTTTGAACAGGGTCTTGTTTTGAGACCAGCCTGAGCTGGTCTCAAACATGTGACCCTCGTGACTCAGCTTCCACATCTGGTGGAAATACAGATGTACACCGTGTCTGGCTGTACCATGTCTGGCTGTCCTTGGCTTTTTTGATGCTTTGACAGAGGACTTGCATTTGTCACCTTGAGTACCCAGCACACAGTGGCTCCTCAAAACAGATATGGAAGTAATTAATTCAACAATTAAGTAATCAACATAAATTTCTTCTGTCTAGATAGTACATGGAAGTTATAAGTACCTTAATATATTATTTCTCTTCTTTCCTATCTAGAGATATTATTAAGTAATGAGTGTAGAGCTAATATAGGAAGTGCCAATAGTTAAATTCCAATATTTTGCGTTCATACTAGAATTTGAAACCTGAAGTAAATATAGCCTCTTAGAGGATCCTGAACCGTAAAGGATTTTAAACGTCAAGCTCTACCTCATGGTTGATGAACCAATGAAAATTTTAAGCATAGGCCAAACCCAGGGATAAACACTTACCAACACTCACTGCAACTAGCACCTTAAAATGAATGTGTTTTGCAGCAGTTTTACTTAATGATTTCATGTTTACTTGATCCAAAGAGTGAAATAAAAAGAAGTGAGAAAAAAGTTTATAAATCAAGGGAAACACACAAGTGAGGATTACAGAGAAATAATGAATAAAAGTAAATCATTCTTGTGTCTTACCCTGTGTTTTCCACAGGTGCTTTGGCCAAGAATCCTGACTTTTGTGGTACCTGCTGAATACACAGGAACTCTGGAGCACCTGTTTAATATCATCAGAATTCTGCTTATGGCAGAGGAGAGAAAGAAACATGACGTCAAGGAGTCAACAGCACTTGTCATCTCTACAGGAGCTGGTTTGTACATTCATAATCAAAGCAAAGCTTTTCTAATGTGAGAGACTTATTTCCAGAAAGTCTACTGTGCTTTCTGAACCCCAATCTGAACGTTTCTAACACTACAGTGATGATGAAAATTGCTTTCTCTTTCTAGTGAAACTTCCTTCACCACAGCAGCTACTAGCAAGAATTCTGGTGAGTGAGTTGCAAAGTACCAATGTAGGATAAATTTAAGCTGCTATGGACAATTCAGTTCAAACTGAAATGCTAATAAAAATTGCATAGATACTCCAAACCAAAAGAAACACTAAAATAGCATAATAAATTTTTTCCTATACAAATGACACTCATGATATTTATTAATGGCAAGATTATCTTTCCACTCTGAAATGCTTGTAAAACTTTATGATTTTAAGCACAGACTGAATCTCATCAAACAAATTCCATACCTATTGTATGGGTTTTCCTTCTCTCCCTTTGGCCACATATGTGTCATTTACTCAAGTGCTGTTTTGTATGAGCTTATTTAATTAATAGTTGTACTTAAGTGTTGGTTCTTTCCATTTATTTTGTTGGTGGTTTCCATGTATTTTTTTTTCACCTTTATCTTCAGGGTAGAAAAAACTAGAAGAAAAATTCTCTAAGTATTAAATTTGCTCTAGAATAAATAAGAACAGACTATGATGATTTGTTAAAAGATTATCCAATTTAGGGGATCAAGGGAAAACAAACAGTAGCAAAAAGGGGAAAGGTAGGTGGGCCTTTTAAATACGTCTCAAATTGATGATAATTTTTATCTTCCATCCTTCAGGTAATATCTATGCTTGCCAGTTTAGGGAAATTATGTGGGGCTGGTGCAATAGGACTTTTGAAGGTGTTTCCTGAGATAATCCACCCCAAATTGGCAGACTTGTGGAGAACACACTTACCTGAGCTCCTGCAGCCTGTGGAAGGTACACGGGAAGCAAGAATATGAAGAAATGGGACCCCCGCCATAAGGCAAAATTTCTCATTTTAGGCAATTAAGACTATGAATTTGATATGCAAGGTAGACATCTATATTTTTTGTTGATTCTTGAGCTCTGTTTCGCTATTAATGTTCATCCTCAGGTTGGTAACATGCTTTACAGGGATTTTCACCTTTCCTCTGATTTTTTTGCTGCATCTAGAGAAACTGTCTTTTGATACCATTCTAAAAAGTTCTTACTCATTCATGTTAGAGTATTAAAATACACTCATTTCAGTAATTATTTCTGAAATTAGAAAAAAATAGATTTTATCACAGATTAAAGATGATCTGTCCATCTAACAAGCACTTTAAAGTGGCCAGCATAGTGAATTTCATCGCAGATCCCCATTCTGAGCAGGGAGAAAGCTCAAAGTGCATCTCCAATATCTACTGGGGACCTGATAAGGAAAAATTTGAGTCTTGGTTTATTTTCAGTTATTGCATCAATTTTTATTTCTAGGGAAGAATGCTAGTATTGTGCTGTGGGAAACCATGCTGCTTCAGGTAAGGGTGAATCAGTGAAAGTTACTCCTCTTTAAAAAAAAAAATACCTCTAACTTCAGAAACTCATGTTATTGAACACATGGTGGTTCTGGGGTTAGAACTCAGCACTTCATGCTTGCTAGGCAGGCACTCCACTGCATAAACCACACCTCCAGCCCCAAAAGTTGCTCCTCTTAAAAACTAGACAAACAAAAGAACTAGATTACTTGACCAAAGGAGTAAAATGGTCGAAGTGATTTCTTGAGAATAATGTGCTGTACTTTAAATCACCATAATGTGAAAAACAATTTTTAGTTTTTAATTTGATTAGGGGTTAAAAGTAGTTTTGAAGATTTAAGTTATGAATATTTCTTACTATATATTTCTTATGTGTTCAGTTTTCAATATTTTTCTCTCACTTGCAACAGCATTTTTCACCATTCACAAACACAGATTAATGTAAATTCCAGAAGTCTATTCCTCACAGGCAACTGTTTCTTCCTCTATCACTTCTTGCTGTCTTTTTCCTGATTTATAAAAAACAAAGGTCCCACTGTATCCCTTTTCCAGAAAAGAATCTCCTCTTTCACTCATAAGTTTTTTTGGACCCTTTTAACTAAACAGAGACATTGACAATGCCAAATCACAGAAATGGCAATTTGCAAACAGGAATGGATAGGAGATTTCAATTTCAGAAACCTACAGAAGGTCAAGGAACTCATGAACAGAAAGCTTTTAATACAGCCAATTTTCAGTTCATAAGCAATTACACAGGAATTTGCTGCATATTTTTAATGACAGTTTTCAGTGACTTCTCACAGTGTTTCCTCCACCTTCTTTCAACACTTCTTACAGAATCAAAATTTCTGTGGTGACACCTGAGAATTGCCTTTGTTTTAGTGTATATTAACTGTATACTAGTGGTTTCATTTTCACTCATGTGTATAATACACTTTGATCATATTCTCCCTCTATTACCCTTCTTATGACCCTTCCCCAGTCCCACTGATCTGGACCCCATTTTCTTCCTAAGTAGTGTCTCTTCTACTTTCATGTCTTCAGGGTTTTTTTATATAGATTCTGCATATGAGAGAAAACTTGTGAGATTTGTCTCTCTGTGACATTTTGCTTAAGATGATGATCTCCTCTGAGCACAGGTGGCTCATGCCTGTAATCCTAGCTACTTAGGAGGCTAGATTGGGAGAATCATGGATTGAGGCCAGCCCAAGCAAATGGTTCTGGAGACCCTATCTGAAAACTAACCAGAGCAAACTGGACTAGAGATGTGGCTCAAGCAGTAGAGCACTTGCTTTGCAAATGCAAAGCCCTAAATTCAAACTCCAGTCCAACCGATAAAAAAGATGGTGATCTCCAGATCCATCCATTTTCCTGAAATGGATGAATATACTCCACTGTACATATAACCACGTTTTTTACCGTTTATCCATTGATGGGCACCTAGGCCTGTTCCATAGCTTGACCTTTGTGATTAGTACTACTACAAACATGGGTGCACAGGTTTCTCTATTGCATGCTGACTTTGATTCCATCTGGTATATACTCAAGAGTGGTATAGCAGGATCATATGGCAGTTCTATTTTTAGTTTTTTATGAGCCTCCATACTGATTTCCATAGTGGCTGGACTAAGTTACATTCCTACCAGCAGTATATAAGGATTCCTTTTTCTGACATTCTCTCCAGCACTTGGTTTTTTATTTGGTTTTGGTTTTGGTTTCTTTTGTTTCTGTGGTATGAAGTTTGAACTCAGGGCCTCAAGCCTCAGGTGCGCTAGGTAAGCACTCTTACACATGAGCCACACATCCTAACCTTTTTTTGCTTTAGTGATTTTCAGATAGCATCTCACATCGTTATTTAATCTTTTTTTTTTTTTTGGTGGTGGTTCAGGGGTTTGAACTTAGGGCTTTGCACTTATGAGGTAGGCACTCTACCAGTTGAGCCACACCTCCAGCTAGCTGCATCTCACATTTTTGACAGGGCTGGAACCCAGATTGTGATCTTCCTACATATGACCTCCTGACTACCTGAAATGACAGGCATGTACCGCCATGCCCAGCTGATTGATTGAGATGGAGTCTTGCTAACTTTTTGCCTTGGCTGGCTTTGAAACTCAATCCTCCCTATCTCTGCCTCCCATGTAGTTGGAATTATAGATGTGAGCCACCACACCCAGCCTATTTGTTTTCTTGATGATAGCTATTCCGGATGGGGCAAGATGGAATCTCAATGCAGTTTTTTGTTTTGTTTTGTTTTGTTTTGTTTTTAGTTTATAATTTTTACATTTACTCACATGTGTATACATTGCTTGGGCCACCTCACCCCAACCCTCACTCCATGCAAAACCTGTCTTGCCCTCTTGTTCTCTGATTTTGTTGAAGAGAAAGCATAAGGTATAATAAGAAAGATACAGCATTTTTGCTAGCTTGAGATAAAGATAGCTATACAGAGAGATTTGTAACGTTGCTTCCATGCACATGCGTATTACAACCCAAATTGGTTCATCTCTACCAGACCTCTTCACTACTTCCCTTGGTTGATAAGTCCCCTTGATTTACATTTCCCTTATGTCTAAAGATGTTAAACATTTTCTCATGCATTTTTTGGTGATTTATACTTTTTTTGAGAACTGCTGCTTAGTTAATTTGCCCATGTATTGATTGGATTATTTGTTCCTTTTATGTTTAATGTTTTGTGATCCATATTTAGTCTGGATATTAATCTCCTGTTGAATGAATAGCTAGCAACAATTTTCTCCCATCCTGAAATTACAGTGTCCTATTTAATTAAAATTACTGCCATTTCCTATATCTTGAAATGTTTTCTCTATGCTTTCCTCTAGTAGTTTTAGAGTATCAGATCTCACACAAAGGTCTGTTTCAACGTGGTTTTTGTACAGGGTGAGAGGTAAAGATCTACTTTCAGTCTTGTACATGTAGATGTCCACTTTTCCCAGCACCATTTGTTACAGAGGCCATGTTTTATCCAATGTATGTTTTGGTGTCTTTATCAAAAATCAGATGTCCATAGCTGTGCAGGTTTATTTCTGGTTCCTCTGTTCTACTCCATTAGTCTACATGTGTGTTTGTGTGCAAAGTACCGTGTTGTTTTTTTACTATGAGCCTGCAGTATAACTTGAAATCAGGTCTAATGGTACCTCCAGCATTACTGCCTTTGCTCAGGATTTATTTTGCTATCTGAGGTTTTTTTGTGCTTCCACATGAAGTTTGGAATTTTTTTTCTATTTCTATGAAAACTGTCTGGAATTTTGATGGGGATTCATTGAATCTGCTGATTACTTTTAGTAATACAGAATTTTCACAATATTAATTCTGCTGCTCTGTAAACAAGAGAAGTATTTCCATCTTCTAGTGTCTTCAATTTCTTCAGTGTTTTATAATTTTTATTAGAGAGGTCTTTTACCTCCTTGATTAGATTAATTCATGTACATTTTTCAAGGTTATTGTGAAAGGGAATGTTTTCCTGATTTCCTTCTCACCATATTCATTAATGATATATAGAAAAGCTACAGATTAGAACTGCCATGTTCAAAAAAAAAAGACCCCCACCAGTGATTCACATCCAACAAAAGATCTGAAAATGACTGTTCTGCACAGCTGCTCCTCAGTTCTAAGATCTACTTCTCCTTCTATATTCATGCTTCTCTATTATCCTAATCTCTCAAAATGTCTACCCTATTTTCCCTAAATACCATTTTGTAACAACTGTTTTCACTCATTCCTTTCTCTAGCAGAAAGCCTTGAGAACAGTGCATTTCTCTTTTCCAATCTTGAGGATGCTTTTACTCTTCTCTTTCCAAAACTGTTGCTCAGACTTCCTTCCCTTAACCTTCCAAAAACATTTAATCTCTTTAAGAGACCCACTGGATGAGCTCCTGCTTTAAAAAATGCTTGCAAATCTTTTCATCAGCTTTAATATTTAATATCCTTTACTAAACTAAAAGTAGAGAAAATATAGAGAGAAATAATACATTTTAGAAACTGAAGTGGCTATTTTTCTCCAAAAAGACAATTTGTTTTACATTTTGCTCATTGAAACAAGACAGGGGTTCAGAGGACTCATTGTGACCCTGACTCAATTAGTAAAACCAGAAATATTCACTTACTACTGTGGAAGTTGGCAGAAATGCACCTGTTCATCTAATTGGTTCCATAAGACATTTAATTCCTTAGTCAAAATAACATTGACAAATGGATTTTTTCTAAATTTATCAAAACCTGAAAAATGTTAACTTTAATTTATGTTTCAGATTGGATTAGTTCCTATTTTAAGTCTTTCAGCAATTTTTGTTTAAGAGGAAACGAGTAGAGTTTTTTGGGTCTTTAAGGTATAGGATCATATCATCTGCAAATAGGGATATTTTGACAGTTTCTTTACCTACTTGTATTCCTTTTATTTCTTCTTCTTGCCTAATTGCTCTGGCTAGGAATTCCAGGACTATGTTGAATAGAAGTGGAGATAGTGGACACCCTTGTCTCATTCCTGATTTTAGGGGGAATGGTTTCAGCTTTTCACCGTTAAATATGATGTTGGCTGTAGGTTTGTCATACATAGCCTTTACAATGTTGAGGTACATTCCTTCTATTCCTAGTTTTCTTAGAGTTTTATCATGAAATGGTGTTGGACCTTGTCAAAGGCTTTTTCTGTACCTGTTGAGATGATCAAGTGATTTTTGTCTTTGCTTCTATTGATGTGCTGTATTACATTTATAGATTTGCATATGTTAAATCACCCCGACATCCCTGGGATGAAGGTGACTTGATCGTGGTGAATGATCTTTCTGATGTGTTGTTGGATTTGATTTCCCATTATTTTACTGAGGATTTTCCATTGATATTCATTAAGGAAATTGGCCTATAGTTCTCCTTTTTGGAGGTGTCTTTGTCTGATTTTGGGATGACAGTAATGTTGGCTTCATAAAACGAGTTAGGCAGTGTTCTTTCCCTTGCTATTTCATGGAACAGTTTAAGGAGGGTTGGTATTAGTTCTTCTTTAAAGGTCTGATAGAATTCAGCAGTGAATCCATCAAGTTCTTGTCTTTTCTTTTCTGGGAGACTCTTAATTGCTGCTTCAATTTCATTTTATGTTACAGATCTATTCAGTAAAAAAAAAAAAGAGGAAATGAAAGGCACTTAAATAGACATATTTCCACATTCTGTATATTTTATTCTTAATGGGAATCCAGAAAACAGTTTTTAAAATAAATGAAGAAGAAAAGTTTCAAAGTGACCTATTATTTTATGGGAAAAGAATAATCCCATTTAATACCTCTTTGTACTTTTTTAAAAGATAAAGTATACAAAAAGTACCAAGAAAGCATATTAAATATTTATACTCATATCTAACTTCCACTTTCTACAATAGCTGCTCAAAGAATCTTTATGGAAAATCAGTGATGTGGCCTGGACCATTCAACTGAGTCGGGACTTCAGCCAGCAAATGGACAGTTACAGCAACACCTCCATGGAGAAGGTTGGTTTTTTAGCTAAGGGACCTTGGCATCTACTTTATTATCCAAAATGACTGCTCAAGTTCCATCGTGTCTGTACTGCACCCAAAAGAAGGAAGGAATAGTTTAAAAAAAAAAGAGTTCCTTCCTTTCAAGGCCACTTTCTCAATATTGAATATTACCATATTTTCTTCACCTTGCATTTGGCCAAAACATGCTTATATGGCCACACCCGTCTGCAAGGAAGATTGGAGCAAGACTGAAAGAAGAATGGATATAGAAAGGCAAATAGCCTCTGCCATGGCACTGGTTTAATGTCATTTTATGTCTTGATTTCTTAGAGTCTTGTAAGGCTGGTTACCAGATATGATCTAGTACAATTTAACAAAAGCTTAGATGAAACATAATGCTTCAAAGGCAGTTCTTCCATTTCTCTGTCTCCAAACAACTTCTCCATCTTCCTCCACTTTTTAGCCTGCCATTTTAAGTGGGGTTTGAAACCAGTGTCTGCTATTGACCTCTAATGTAGCCCAGGTAAAACTATGCCTTGCTCCAGATCCTCAGCACATTCATCTTTAGAACAGAAACAATACCCACCTCTGAGGTTGGTACTGTGATGAGGGTTCAACAGATAAAATATAGGAAGTCCTTTCCTTAGTAAAGTGCCTGGCACAAGGCATGCATTCAGTGTAAAAGCAGCTTTGCAGCCAGCAAAAAAGGCTACAATGTTGCTGTGTGTGAGCCAGGGATGCTAACAGCTCTCCTGACTGAACTATTAGAGGCAAGGATGGTCTAAAATGAGCCTCCAAGGAGACTTTAGCTATCCTAATTAGAAAAAAATTACCTCAGTGCTTCAACCTTGAGCTAATACTGAAAATTAAAGATAATGGCATTTTGTTTATTAATAAGCAGAATTCTTGGGCTTGTCTTCCTATGAACAACAACGTTCTAATTACTAGCTTTCTCCTTAAGATCTCTATTAGTTTTCCTTAAGCTTCTGTAGCAAATTTTATCCAAGCTGAGTGCCTTAAACCATTAGAAATGTATTCCTCACAGTTCTGGAGGCCAGAAATTCAAAATCAAAGTGTCATCATGATCAGGCTCCTTTTTCAAAAATTTTTTGGTGGTACTTACTTGGATTTGAACCCGGGACCTTACACTTAGTAGGCAGGCACTCTTATCACTTGATGCACAACCCCAATCATTTTTGTTTCAGTTATTTTTTAAATATAGTTTACAGTTTTTGCCCAAGGACTGACCTGAACCATTATCCACCTACTTACACCTCCCATAGAGCTGGGATGACAGGCACTACCACGCCTGGGGTACAGGGATTTGAACTCAGGGCCTCATGTTTGCTATGCAGGTACTCTACCACTTGAGCCACTCCACCAGCCCTTTTTGCTTTGGTTATTTTTGAGATAGGGTCTCTCTTTATGCCCAGGCCTCCTGTACCCACTAGCTGGGATTACAGGCATACTCCAGCACCCCTGCGTCTAGCCATTAATTGAAATGGGGGTCCCGTGAGCTTTTTACCTAGACTGGCCTCAAACCACTATCCTCCTGATCTCTGCCTCCTGAATAACTAAGATTACAGGCTGGAGCCATCATGGCCAGTCAGCCTTTTTGTTGAGATACGGTCTAGTTAATTTTTTGTCTACACTAGCCTCAGACTATGACTTTCCTGGTTTTCACTTTCCAAGTAGGTGGGAGTATAGGCCTTAGCCACTGCATCTGGTCCCCACGCTCCCTTTTAAAGGCTGTGGGAAATGTCCTTCCTTTGCCTCTTCCCCACATCTGAGGGTTCCTTGAAATCCTTGGGGCTCCTTTCCTTGAAGCTGTACAAGTCCCATATCTCCTTCTGCCTCTCTATGATGTTCTTACAAATACACCAGTCATTGGATTCATGACCCACCCTAACCTAGCATGCCCTTACCTTCATTTAACAAACGATTGGTATGACATTTTTTTCAAACAAGGTCATGTTCTGAGGTTCTGGGCAGACGCGAACTTTTGGGGGACACTGTTCATTCAACTACGCCCACAGTTGAATGGTCAGTATTGGTAAGAATATATTTATGGATACTTTGATCAGAACCTCTTTTGTATTCATTTGTTGCCTGAGTAGCAAAAATTATATAATATAGAAACATATTTAGAACTTGTTTGTTTCTACATGTACTCATTTTCCTGGCTCCTTGGGCTCTGCAGTGCTGCACACAAGGTGATAGAAGTTTAGTTGTGTCTACATGTGCTTGTAGCTTCTCCAGCACTGTGATGTGCATTTGTGCCCTCTGTACTGTGATGAGACTCATACCTCTTGTAATTTTAGTCCCAAATTTGACATTTTGGCCTTTGAAGGAACCTGATATGACCTGGTAGGGGGTAGGTTGTACATTTATCCATCTAGTATAGGTATTTTGCCTTGCAGAGCCAGGCACAGTGGTAGCCAGATCGCTTCTTAGGATCTCTAGCCATCTTTTGTCCCAAGGTAGATGTGGTAAGCAGAATTCTAAAGTAAATTTCAATTGCTGTGGTGCAGGGACCATAAACAAGACACATAGCAGGTGTGGCACTATATCCAGGTACATTTTTCCAAAAACTCTGCTCCATTATTGTCCTGGTATAATGGTTGACCACATCTAAGGTAATTTCTTGGCACAACAGCCAATTGTGCCCAGCAACAGAAAACAACAAGGACTTGCTCTATTTTAGAGTTTATCCAAAGGCCTTATGTAAACATCATTATAGCTGATATATAATAATTTATATGCATTATTTTATGCATGCACTTCCCTTCAAATCACCATCTTGGCTCTGAGGACACCATATTCAGTAAACCTCTGCTAGGCTTGCAGGCGAATACTAGAGGTTGGCTCATATATGATGATCTTATTTGGACAGCTAGATTCTATTCCTTATGGTCTCCCATTCTCCAGCAGGCTGGATGAGACTTGCCTTCTTGTAGTAGCAACAAAGTTTCCAAGGTCTCTTGAAGAATAGGTCCAGGGGTGGCACATAATCACTTTTTGCCACATTCTGTTGTCCAAAGCAAGTCACAAGGCCATACCAAGGACTAGGAAAATAAACTGCTTTCTTATTCATGTCTCCACAATAAGGAGACATGAATAGAGGTAGGATGGAAACATGGGTAATTTTGCACTCTACTGCATTTTTCTCCAGTACTGGGTTCCCGATTTCTTGAATTCTGTACTGGATTCCCAATGCAAGGATTTACAACACACAGAACCAAAATCAGCAGAGAAGCATGTCTGGGAAGCTCTGGGACTTTTTACACCTAAGTCATGTTTTCCTTTTCATGACATTAATGTTTTTCTCAAGCCCAAGACTTCTCCAGACTCTATCAAGTCCTTCCCCCAAGATGGAGTTAAATAGACCCCAGAAGCTTTGCCCTTGATTTGCTTCTATGTTGTGCACAGTTTCCCTAATTACAATTCCATTATCACGGGAAACAGTTTTCCAGACAGCAAGAGTGGAATAGGTGCTGTGTAGACACAGTCTCACTCTCATAGAAGTTCTAGTAGTTGAGAGCACAGCAATGGTTCTGCCTTGTTATTACCCTCTCATCCCAAGTAAGGATGGTCCACAAAATTTCCCCTGAATGCATTCATTTCACTCCATCTGCTTCTACTAGCTTCTCCACCTGTTCATAGATTCCCCTCTGATCAATGATAAACACTCAGTAACTACAATCCTATGAGTTATGTAGAGTTCACGAAGCAAACCAACAATGGCCAGTTTTGCCTCCTGCAGATGACAAGATGATGATTCTAAATACAGTGATGCTCATCTGATATTATATAGCAATCAGTTATTCAAACCTTAGAAAACGAATCAAAGCCATCTTCAAAATAACCCTGTCTTCACTGAGTGTGTTTATTCAATGAGCATTTGTTAAGCACTTAATAGCCACAGGAACTGTCCACTGGCAATAACACATAACAACTTCAGCTACCCAGAACTCAAAACCTTAGCATAAAGGCAAATGAGAAAATGAAACATTGTATCAAGAATGAAAGGAATTGTGATGGTAGGAATAGGGTCTGGAGGAGTGCAGAAGAGCACTGGTGGAAGACAAAGCCTGAGGAAGCAAAGGCTTCAAGAAAGGATACTATGAAAGGTAATATGTAAGTTAAAACTGATTTTTTTTCCTTCTGATGACTATTTTATGTCCTTCCACTTTTTATCAGAATCTTGCTTTCCAACCTTTAAAATGCTGCTGTTCATTCTTTGTTTTCCAGAAATTCCTTTGGAAGGCTTTGGGAACCACCTTAGCATCCTGCCAAGACTGCCACTTTGTGAACTCACAGATTAAGGAGTTTCTGGTTACTCCCAGCCAGCTGGGGGACCAAAGACAGGTGGGAACCTTTGCTTTTAATGTCCTCTTTATGGTGATGACCATTAGTCCTATTTATAAAACTTGTGACAGATGCGATGACAATATCTTATTTATAATCAGAATTACTCGTGAATATATCCATTATAGTCCAAACATTTTTTTCCAAAAAATGGATTTTCCCTGTTTAGATTTCAATACTTCATTTTATCCAATTTTGTGAAAATATTTTTAAATGAATTTCAAATATTCTTACTTAACAGAGGCATCTTTGATATATTTTGCTTTCTGCTTTCGTAGCTTATAACATGATCAAAAAATCATTGAATTTATAAGCAGCCAGTAACCTTATAGGTCATTGGTTTTCAATCTGGAGGGAATATAAATACAACCTGAAAAGATTTGGGCCAGTACTTGTACTTATTACTTACCTACCTATCCTAGGCTGCACAGCATATGTAACTGTAAAGAGGGTTGTATTAAAAACAAACAAGCAAGCAAAAACTCCACAAACTACTAGCATAAAAATCTCGTGATGTGTTGTGTTATACCTCTCTTAGAAATTCTGAGATGTTTTAGGTTCTTTCTTCCACCGTAAATAGGAGAAACCACTAGACTTCACTGACTTTTTTAAATGGCTTCTAAATTTATTAGAACTTCTTTTTTTCCTTGTCCTTCCTACAGTTCTGCTCTACACTAGGAAACAAAGTAAATTTGTGTTAGCGATACATGTACAAAGGGAACCTTGTTTTCTTAACTTCAAATTCTTGGGTGTTCCACACACTTAGGAAATGACATTTAGGTGAGTAAAGTGTTGACACGTGAATTTCTCAGTCTCTCTGAGCCTAACTACCTGTGGATTTCCTAAGCATTGCGTAACTGTCAATCACATAAAGCATGAGCTCCAATTCTGGCATCAGAGTAGCTAGGTTCAAATCTTGGCTTCACGATATTCTATCAACATAACTCAGGTTCCTCCAAGAAATCCTTGGGTAAAATAGAACCCAGTTCAAGTATAATAGTCATACACAGGCCTTACTAAGCAATTTAAGATGAAATTGATCTTTGAGGAGCTAGGGAGAGAAAAATCAAGTAAGGAAAAGTCTGGGACGTCTGTGTAGATTTGAGGGGTTTGTGAATTTGTGGTTGAGGTCGAAACCAGAAATGTCCCCCAGTTTTCTCAGAGGAGCCACAGAGTAACACCAAGCTGAGTAAACCCAAAGTCAGTTCATTGAAGGCTTGGGTTTTTGCCAGACTTCAATGATAGAAGGACAGTGGGCATAGATCACAGAGTGACTAAGTTGCTGAAAGAGACAAGAAGAAGATGAGTTAGAAGCGAAAAAATACAGAGCATTGTTGAAAGAGAAAAATACAGAGAGTGCAGGCTAAAAGGTGCAGAGAGGTTTGAATCTTAGGTTGTGACTAGGGACATGGGGATGACAGGCCGCAAGACCTCAAAGGATTATCGCAAATACCTCATTGGAAAGGGTTGTATCTAGGGACTAAGGACAGTGCTGGTTGGGACCTTGGTGACAGTGGTATAATCTGTGGGTTCTAATGGTAGCTCTTGGGGATGTGCAGGTAAATGAAATATAACAGCATTCCTGAACAAATTGCAATCAACAGAGACACAACAGAATTCCCGCACAAACCGTAATGGGGTAGCAGGGTGAAGTCAGCCATCGACTGAGCGACGAGACACGTGAAGGGAAGAGTGTGCACAGCAGGAATATACCCCTGACCGTGGAACAAGAGTTGCCAGCTCTCAAGAGTTTAACCACCCAGGATGCAAACCCATTTCAGCAGCATAGTGATCCTCTAAGTTATTAGAGGAGTAGTTAGTAGTAATGTATTGCATACTTCAAAATAGCTACACATGATGGGTTTTAGATGTTTTCACCACAGATAAACTGTATTAGAAGCAATGCATATGATAATCAGCCTGATTTGAATATTCCAAAATATAAACATATTGATTCATGACATCATACCACATAAATATATGTACTTATTATTTGTCAATTGTAAATAAAACATTGAAACGTTCAATTGAGCCCAATGACACATGCCTATAATCCCAGCACTTGGGAGGCTGAGGCAGGAAGATCAGAAATTATAGGCCAACCTGTGCTACACAGTGAGAGCCTGTCTCAAAATTTTTTTTTAACTTTAAAAAGAGAATAAATAAATAAAATATCAAATATCAGTCAACTCAAACCTAAATTGACTTCCTATAGCTTCATCATGAATGAAAAATCTTGAGGATGACCTTAAAAAGCCCTATTAGAAAGAACCCTCATTTCCTGTAGGACCTCATCTTGTCCTGATCTCCTGGGACTGTTCACTCAGCCCTCTTTAGTGAACCCCAGAGCCTTTGCACTTGCTTTCTGTTTGGATCTCTCCTTCACAGGTAGTCCTGTGGTTCACCTCCTCAGTTATTTGAGGGCTCTGCTCCATGTCACTCTATTCATAAGTACATCTCTGACTAATGTATTTATTGTGAACTTCCCCAGCACTCACCAGCCATTCATTTTCATATCTCTATTGCACTTGTTACCTTCTGCCATACCCCAAATTCACAAGTTTGCTGAATTTATATGTACTTGTTTCCTATTGCTCCCTTGATAGTTTCCCTGACTGTGCATTCCACAGGAGAGGACATTTGCTGTTCTCTGTTCACCACTGTATCCCCAGTGGCCAGAAGAACACTTAGCATATAATAGGCATTCAACAAATGTTTACTGGATGGATGAATTGCTAAACTCAAAATCTCATGTCTTTTCTGATTTTAGGGAACAACGTCCATTTTAGGATACTGTGCCGAGAACCACTTGGATATTGTTTTAAAAGTTCTTAAAACATTCCAAGATGAGGAAAAGTTCTTCCTTAATAGATGCAAGGTAAAAAAAAAAAAAAGATCTCTAAAGCTCTTTGCCACTACTAGGGTAAACAATACTGATCCTCAGTGAACATCTTTTCCATATTATTCTTATTCCTGTGCCTGGGTCTTTATTCCTCCTCAGAACCACCCAAGCCCAGGCATGATGGGACAGTCAGCTATCTACCAAGTGCTACTTTCTCTGTAACTTTTTGCTGACCTGGAAGGTCCTAATGAACTCCATGTGTGCCTACAGTTGTCCTGCCACAAACTGTTCTGGCCTTATGTATGGCTTCCATTATGTGTACTCTGCTTTCCCTGAATGAGTAATCAGATGAGTAAATAATTGCCACAGGAGTCTCCCAGTCCCCCCTAGTAAAACCTGATAGTCTCATGACAGTCCTAGCTGTTTTCATTTTTGTAAGCAAAAGTATACAGTTTGGGTCTCATGTTAATCATCCCATTCCAGTTTCTTAACCCCTGTAGTTAGAGAATCAGGATTAGAGAAAAATAAACTCCTTAGGTCACATTTATTTATGTCTCTCTTCCTGGTCTTCAGGGCTTTTTTTCTGGGAGAAAGAGCCGACCAAAACTGATCTCATAGTGATCTATGGAACTGTGGCCCTCCATGCTCCCAAGCAGCAACTTGTTACCAGGCTTGATCAAGACATCACAGCCCAAATCCTCTTTCTGTATGGCCAGTGTTCTCAGGTAATGCCCACCATGGACCGCCTCCATTTCCAGCCTGGGTTTCCCAAACCTTGTAGGAGTTGAGTTCTCAGAAATCTTAAGACTGAAAGGATGCAAGCAAAAAATATATATATGTATGTATACACATATATATATATATACATGTATATGTAAATGTATATATACACAAATATAATACATGTATATGTAAATGTATATATACACAAATATATATATACATGTATATGTATATATATATTTGCTAAGGCCTTGAGCAGTGCACGTCCTATACCACTTCACTGATGCCTTTCCAGACCAGCTGTATCCATGGTGATCTCAACCCTGTTGAATTTAAAATAATTACTCCTGTACTACTTTGGGCAGCTGGCTTATTACTTCCTGATAATAGTCTCAGAAGTGTTACCCAATGGTAGCTGTTGAACCTTTTATATGATGACATTATACGCCACCTAGGACAGTAAATAGTAAGTGCCACACATGAACTTTAAACGAATAAAATGTGCTATTCGTCAAGGTACTCAATCTATCTCACACTGTTCTGTTTCCCTTCCACATTCATTCCAGCACCCCAGTCTTTCTGGGACCTTTCAAACTTTCCCAGAGTGTGCCAGCCTCAGAGTCATTAAACTAAGTGAATTCATCTGGTCATTTCCACCATTCCCCAAGCACTTTGTTTCCTTAATAAAATGCTTCACATATATTGTTGATTCAAAGCCAATTAGCTGACAATCGTTAGGTGGGCCACTTAAGACTCACCCAGGGATGAAATTTGTGTGTGTGTGTGTGTGTGTGATGAAATTTTTGTTGTGTGTGTGTGTGTGTGTGTGTGTGTGTGTGTGTGTGTGGTACTAGCTTGGAGTCTACACCTTCAGCCACTCCTCCAGCCCTTTTTTGTGAAGGGTCTTTTCAAGACGGGGTCTCATGAACTATTTGTCCAGGCTGGCTTCGAACTGCAATCCTCTTGATCTCTGCCTCCAGGATAGCTGGGATTGATTACAAGGATGAAATTTTAATATAGCTTCCAGAGTGGTATTTGAGGGAGGTTAAACAGGTAGGTCTCAGGAGGAATCTGGAAGCCTGTGCTTAGGTTTGTGAGTGATTCTCATCCATAGGCAAGTGTGGGGAGCTTTTATATCAATAAAAGCACATCTGTTTCTCCCCTTAGATTGTCAGCACCTCAATGATAGGGTCTGAAACTGATGCTCTTTAGCTCCTCTTATGTGTCTTCTGTGTCTCTACAAGCCATGTTTTATCCACAGGTGCTCCTCACACTTATTCTTATATGTGTGTGATAATAATGAACTTATGGGGACTTATAAAACACAGATATCAGCTATCAAGTGCTAGTGGAAGAGTGTAGGGCACTGATCCTCTTACCTCAGCTGCATGGGAATTGCCTCGAGAGCCTGTCAAAAATAGAGATGTCTAAGAAGTTGCAGTCTTTAGAGATAGATCACAGAACCTAGATTTTTCAACCTGCTCCTCATATTATGAGGCAAAAGCCCTGGTTCCAGGGGTCCCAATGAATTAGGACCAACCTCCTATCCTAATACCAACGAAAGACACAAATAGTGGTGAAGGGTATAGAAAGGAGATTTAATAAATATGGCCATGTGGGGAAGAATTTATAAAGGGGTTCAATGACCCTGAGTCCATCTTCAAGGAACAGATAGGAACTTTGAGATATTATAGGAGAGGAAAAAGGGAAATGGTTGGGGTATGCGTAGCTGACAGAGCAGATAATTTGGTCAGGTCAGTTGTCTCATTAATTATTATTATTACTGCTACCCTGGGGTGCAGCCTCAGCATCATAGGTAATTACCCCCATTTAGGGGTGACCTCATCATGGTGTGATCTATCCTATGAAGTTCACTGTTGCTTGAGGGTAGTTTTGGCCCCTTGTCATAAAGATGTTTATTGATCAGTACTATCATTCTTTGAATCCATGATAACTGTAGAATAGATTGGCTCAAGAAGAGAAAAAGTTAAAGAGGCAAAATAGAATCTGAGAGGGACACAATGTAGTTCATTAGGCTGATGACTATTGCCTCCGCTCAGGAGCTAATTCCGCTGCCCTGTAATCTAATAAATAATTATGAGAATCAAAAATGTAATAGAATATGTTTTATGATACTTTAATTTTTCATCAGTAATTGAGGAAACACTACAAAAAATAAGGGTAAGGAAGATAAAAACAAGATAAAGATGACTATATTTTCAAGGTACAGTAATTTTTTGCTATCACACAATAATATACAGGTAATACAGGGAAAATACAGAAATTATGGGGGATGAAAAATTGGGGCGCAATAGTCAAAGCCTCTTTCAGAGACACAAGTTTTAAAAAGATAAGAACCTAATTTTTTAAAAAATAAAAATAAAGCCAGGCATGTTGACATACAAATCCTTACATGGGAGGCAGAGGCAGAAGAATGGAGAGTTTGAGGCCAACTGAGGTTACAAAGCAAGATCCTGTCTCAAATAAATAGAATTAAATTAAAAATCAAAAAATACAAAATCCAATAAAATGTGGACTTTACCTTGAAACATCTGAAGTCAGTTATAAATGTTGTGAGATATGAGACAGTGGCAGGAAGGAGGGTTGTCTGAAGTCCGGTGAACAGTTGCAACACCAGATTTGCAAGGGTGTGAATCACAGCATACACAGTAACCTCAGTAACTGTCTGTGGTGTGATGGCATTGTACCTGTGCGTGTCTATGTGCCTCAGTTCTACTGCATCCATTCCTCTCATAGATGAAACTCCACATGAGCAAATATGAAACTGGCACATGCTGAAAGTACTTCCAATATATCAGTCTCACTGGAACAAATAGATTTTCAACACAAGCATCATCACAGATCTGACTGTACTCTCAGAGAGAGGGTCAACTGCCCTGTGACTTCATCTTAGAACTACTCACTGCACTTTCTTCCAAGAGCCTTTTCCTTATGAAAGTCAGTTTAGAGTCTCTCTTTGACCTGATTGTAAAAGCTGAAAACTCAAAAGTTCGGTGTCCTTATCCTGCCTTCTATAGTTTGCTTGTAACTTACTTGCCAGTGAGACAAGATCTCACTTTAAAAATGGGTAAGGAATCAATGAAATAGAGACCAAAAAACCAACAGAGACTCAACAAAACAAAAAGCTGGTTCTTTGAAAAGATAAATAAGATTGATAAACCCCTGCCAAATCTGACAAAAATGAGGAGGTAAAAGAACCAAATTAATAAAATTAAGAAATGAAAAAGGGGAGATCACAACAAACTCCAAGGAAATCCAGGGAATCATTAGGGACAACTTTGAAAACCTATATTCAAAAAGTTTGAAACTCTAGAAGAAATGGACAAATTTCTGGACACATATGACTATCCAAAATTGAACCAAGAAGTATAAATCACTTCAATAGATCTATAACAAGCAATGAAACTGAAGCAGCAATAGTTTCCCAAAAAAGGAAAAGTCCAGGACCTGACAGATTCCCTGCTTAATTCTATCAGACCTTTATTTATTTTTTTATTGTTTTATTATTCATATGTGCATACAATGCTTGGGTCATTTCTCCCCCCTGCCCCCACCCCGTCCCTTACCACCCACTCCACCCCCTCCCTCTCACCCCAACCCACTCTGTACCCAGCAGAAACTATTTTGCCCTTATCTCTAATTTTGTTGAAGACAGAATATAAGCAATAATAGGAAGGAACAAGGGTTTTTGCTAGTTGAGATAAGGAT